AGCCCTTCCCAGCTCTGTCAAGACCAGATCGGCTCTCCTCTTCCCATGGATGGGGAAACTGAGGCACAGAGTGACATGACATTGGCCACCAATGCTTCAGCCTCTTATTCTGGCTCTGACCACACTCACTCTCTGTCACAGCAGATGTGATGCTGCTCCACATTCACATCCTCTCTCTGCTCTGCTTTCACTTCCTTCCCAGGGAGGGATGAGCCAGGACAGCACTCACCACCTCTTGGTTTATGAGTTGCTGCTTTTTTATTTTTTTTCCTATAAGGTAAACATTAAATTTTAAAGTCCAGAAAAAGAACCACCCCTTTTTCCACCACCTCCTGGCATAAGAGCAGAAGCTGCTGGGATGTAAGGGAAGAGGAATGAGGTGTGGTGTGCTGATGGCTCAAAGCAATGAGGGCAGCTGTGGTCAGAGCACCCAACACCATGTGAGCACAGGCTTGGGGCGTGTCCAAGACCCCTGAGGCTACAACAAGGTGCTGGACTGGGCAGGGAGGTTGACTTCTCCTCCCTGGAAGTGTTTTACAGCCCCACCAGAACAAAGGCAGCCGTGGCTGTTGTTGACTCACACGATAAGATCATTGTTGTGGGATAGTTGTTTGGTTTTTTTTTTTACTGTGTGTCACTTCGAAATAATTCTCTTTTTTCTAGCAAATTTGTTCTCCTCCCTTCCACCCCCAAAGTGAAAAGGGAATCTGTGCTCAAAGCCCGCAGCTGAGATTGCAGAGAGACCTTCCCTTCCTGATCCTTATCTCACCAGGATGTAGGAGGATCCTTGGGGAATAGCTGGAAGCTTTTCGCTGGAGCCATCCAAGAACCGAGTGAGCTGACTTAGAGCCTTTAAATGGCAAAACCATCAAGGGCTCAGGGACCAGGATCTGAAAGGCTGTTTAACCCCATCTCACTACCACATCTCTGGGAGTCTCCAGCTCTCATCCCAACCAACCTGAGCTCCTCCTCTCGCCGCCTTCTCCGCAGGCACCACAGCCTCAGCTAAATAACATGCTCTAAAAATACACCTTTGAATCCTAATCCAAACCAAAGCCTTAAATTGCTGGCTCACAACCTTACTCCAGCTGCAGCTGCTCACAGGCAGGTTTGGGTGGCAGCAAAGCCAGGGCTGAGGTTCTCCTGGGCTGGCAGAGCAGGGGATGGGAGAGATGGTAGCAATGGAAGTAAAAGGTGGTGGGGAGCAAAGTAGGGTCTGGTTCTTTCCTCCACCTCAGCCTGGGTCACACCTGCATGTCTGGTCACAGCTCTGAACTAGAGCTGGGAGCTCTCAACAGCAACACAGCCACGGGGGAAGGACAGAGCTGTCCTGGGTGACCAGGGTGGGCTGGTGGATCCTGAATTTCCCAGGGCCATCCATGAACACAGGAGATGAAGAAGACTATATCATCCACCTCAGCATCATCCTCCCACTTGTCCAGAGCAGATTCTGCCTCTGCTCTATGGCTGATGCTCACCTGATACATGAAGGAATGGAGAAATGAATCCTGGACCCTCATGCAGCCAAGCCTGATCCTTCTTCCTCCCAGTCCCTCCCTGCTGTTTTATCAACCTGCACAGGGCAACCTGCTCTCATTTCTATGAAAAAAATATTGCTGTATGTGGCAGTGAAGGCATCCAAATACTCCAACCACAGTGACACAACTGGCAGAGGGATTATCTATCATGGCAGTGTGTATTTATGTCACATGCACACACAATAAGCAGAGGGTTCTTAGACTGATGTACACTCTCTGCCCTGAGCTTGGCCATATGTTTCCCTAAGCCTCCCAGCAGGAGCACAGTCCATGCTTATGGAGAGCTCTTTGGTGGAGAAGCAGAGGAGGGAGCCCTTCACTGGGGATCTGGCCTTGGATGCCTGTAAATAACCAGCAAGAAGGGGAGGGCAGAGCTGATTTCCACACTAAAACGTTCCCTGATCCCACGTTCTGGCCCCACTTGGCTCCTCTGTGCAGGGAGGGTTTAATCACTTTGCAAGCTGTAAAAAAACCCTCCAGCCCAGTGTTTTCCTGAAAGTGGGGCAGAAAGAGGGCAGTGGGAGAAGAGCTAAGTGCCCAAGGAAGAAGGATGCAGGTCCACAAGGAGGGATGCAGCACCTGCAGCACTCCAGAGCATCCCTGAGCTGGGGGAAAGCTGTGGTGGGCCAGGAGAAGGGCACAGGTTTGGTGACAGAGGAGTCACAGCAGCCCAACACTCTGGTTATTTCATATTTAGGACAGGAAACAGATGCTGCTTGGTGGAGGAAGCATCTGAAGAATATCAGTGCACCTTGTGCCTTCCCCAGCAGGAACCTGGTGGGAACAGGGAGTGCTGGGCAGAAACACCCAGATTCAGCCCCAGCCAGGGCAGGTGCAGCTCAGCTTGGGTGCAGTGGCATCACCCTCAGACACTGTCCCCACGGGAAAGCAGCTGCAGATCCAATGCTGTTAAATCTTACAAACAATCTCTGTGCAAACACCTCCTTGCACAGAGGCTGCTCAATCCCTCCTGTTCCAAAGCACTTTTCCACCAGTGGGTGCTGCTGCCCCACGGGCCAGGTCAGAGCCTCCTGAGATTAAACACTGCTGCCAGCAGCCAGGCTCTGCTTTTACAGTTTGGCTTTGTTTCTCGTTATCCTGCTCTGATTTGATTGGTAATTAATTTTTCCCCACATTGAGTCTGCTTTACCCATGATGGTAATGGCCAAGTGACCTCTCTCTGTCCTTACCTTGACCCATGAGGCTTTTGTTATGTTTTCTCTCCCCTGTCCAGCACTCAACCCCTTTGATGAAGACATTAAATAACACTGGTCCCAGCACAGACCCCAAAGGGACACCACTTATCACCAAGGTCCATCAGGACAATGAGCTATTCACCACTACCCTCTGGATGTGACCACCCAACCAGTTCCTCAGCCACCACCACAACAGACTCCATCCCCATACACATCACATCCAGGCTGCCTACTGACATTGTGGACACCTGAGGCTGGTTACATCCAAAATTAAGGAACACTGCACTGAATTCTCTTTTTTTTAATCCCTCCACAGCCAGGCCTGAAGGCAGCTCCCCCCTCATCAGCCTGAAATTCAGCCCCTCATTCAGATTTTTGCCCACTTACCAACCTGCACACGTCTTGAGCTATCCCATCTCTTCCCCTATCACAAAGAAGGGGGAGAGGGCAAACCTGAGGACACTCAGCTGGATTTGTGTGAGGAAAAGGAAACGGAGGGAGAACACTTTTCTTTATCCTCTGTTCCACAAGCTGCTCCCTGAGGTCCCACACAGGACCAGGATCTTGCTCTCAGGAGCTGTGGTCACAGCAGGCACAGGGCAGGGGAGGAGGAGGTGCTGTTGAAGCTCTTATAACTCAGCTTTACAGAGTCTCTGGCTGCAGCTCTGGGGACACCGACAGAAAAGGGAAGCTGGTGGCTGTGGTCAAGAGAGATGCACAGTGAGCACAGGAAGCAGGGAACACTCTTACCCAAGCCTGGCTGGCAGCCAGGAGGGCACAGATATTTCCCAATTCTGCCCAGAGCACCCATTGCTCACTCCTTCCCAGGTACTGCCCAGAGGAGTAACTCCTCCAGCTCACAAAAGCCTCACATCATCCAGCCCAGCTGTGACCTTCAGGCCACCTCAGCCTCTCTTAGGAGTTATCTCCTGTACCCATCAATAGCAGATTTGATTAAAAAACCAGCACAGCCAAGTTCAGTTTCAGGCTGGGTCTGTCTACACACAGCTCACCATGTTCCCAGCCCTAATTCTATGAAAACACCTCCAGTCACGGAGCAAGAAGAACATTGATTTCAAGGAAGCAGAATTTGCCCAACTTTTCTGACTGCAGAGAAAAAAGAAGTCTCATTTATTTCCAGCTCTGTCTCCTCTGAGGCTGACTTCACTTCCCCATCCTCAGTTTTGCCAGAAAGTTGGGTGGCAGAGACAGAGACTCGGTGTCTGGGAAACCAAATTCCACCCATGGTTGTTTAGGACTTCCTTACACCATCCTCCTAATCATTTACTTGCTCCTTCCTAGAGAACATCCATTTCTACTTGCTCAGGAGCCAGGTCACCCTGCAGCTCATGTCAGTGAGCTCATGTTTGCCTCTCTCCTCAGCTCCATGCAAAATGGGAACAGCTTTTTGACTGCAGACCACGCTGAGGAGCAGGCACCACGCTCTGCCAGGCTCCCCCGCAGACCACAGCTTTCACATCCTCTCCCTGCCACTTCCCACACCTTCCCTCAGTTTCTCCAGCTTCCATAGGCAGAGCACAGGAGAGTTTGGCACTCTCTGAACACAATGTGGTGATCATACTGATTTCTAGCAGAAACAAAAGGCTCTCACTTCAAACATCACCTGTGTTAGGAGAGTTCTTGTCAGGCTGAGAAAGAAAGGTCCAAGTAAAAGCATTTTTCCAGCCATGTCACAGCCTGAGCTGGAATGGGACACCCTGACTTAAATCCAGGACTGGAATTTAACACGATATCCTTCAACATCCCCCTGAGCTGCCTCATTTCCTATAGTGTCTGCAGAGTGATTATCTACAGTGATAAGTGTCAACTTTGCAGTCAACTTTAGCTGACGTTTCTGCACTTCTAAAACTGCCTTGGAAGAGGAAGCACTTCAAGTATTTGCTTGCAACTTGCTGGTGAGAAGCTTGGGGAAGCTTTTCCCCTTTTTCCTTTCAAAATAGCTTTACTCCAAAGCACTTTGCTAACACAAGGCTGTTGATAGGATGCTGTGAGCTGCAGGAGATGTCTCCAGAGAGGGGAACAATTCCTGGACACTGAGGTAGTTGTGGCTCTGTGGGAAGGCAACACCTGAATCACTGCCCAAGGGCTGAGGATGTGAAATGCTGGAGGAGGTTTGCACGCCAGAGAGTCACTGGAACAACTGAGCACCAGACACTGAAGAGAAATCCCACACAGAGACACCATCGATGCCTGTGCTCCTCCTCTGCCCCTCGAGCCAGGGTGGGAGCACCTCCAGCAGCAAACCATGCCCAACAACAGCCTGGCCCTGACCAGCCTGGATGGGATCTACATCGGCACCGAGTGCTTGGTGGCTTTGTTGGCCACTTTGGGCAACATCCTGGTGATCTGGGTGGTGAAGCTGAACTCCACGTTCCAGAGCACGACGCTGTACTTCATCGTGTCGCTGGCGCTGGCTGATATCGCCGTGGGCATCCTCGTCATGCCCTTGGCCATCGTGGTGAGCTTGGGTGTCAGGGTGCACTTCTACTCCTGCCTCTTCATGTGCTGCCTCATGGTGATTTTCACCACGGCCTCCATCCTCTCCCTCCTGGCCATTGCCATCGACAGGTACCTGCGAGTGAAGCTGCCAACCAGGTGAGCTCTGCACCACCACAGGCTCCTCCACCATGCCCAACCTGTGCCCTACAGGTGTCACCTCCTCTCTCCTCCTCAAATTGCCCGTTTTTTAACACGTAATTCCTTTCATTGGATGTTTGTGCACTGAGGACACATCTGTGTCTATCAGCCCTGGAACCAACTGTGGTGCAGTTAGCACAGCACAGACCCCAGAGATGCTCACGTGGGTTGTCACTGCTGATCAGAACTTAGCCACATGATGAGTCTGTGGTCAAGGTGTTGAATTCTTCAGCTGTTTTAAATGCACAGGATGCTGAGCATACTATAGATTTCTTTGGGTTTCTGTGGCTATTTGTATCAAATTCCCTTTAGTGTTTGTTGAAAATACAAATCAGTAACAGACTTAGTAAAGGTTCATAGAATCATAGAATTCTTAGGGGTTGGAATGGACCTAATAGATCATCTAGTCCCAACCATGGGCCAGGGCCAAAAATCATTCACTTCTGATGTTTGAATGGATAAGTACATAAGCTAGAAATGCAAAGCATAACCTCAAGCAAAAAAAAATAATCTTATTTTCATGAGAAAGGACCTATGAAACTGAGGAATGAAAGAAAAGTTTAGCCCTACAAATGGCATAAACCAAATATAAAGAGTAAGGTACACCCAAAAAATAAGACAGGGCAATAGCAGCAAAACAATATCTTGGCAAGAGGAGCACTAAGCTCATAGTGAAACAAGAAATAAAGTAGATGAACACATCAAGTTATAAAGAGGGGAAGTTAAGTAAGTTAAGTTCTCATGGGCACTGCACAACAACTGTTATAAATTAAAAGTTGGGACCTGTCTCAAGATAAGGTTTGGTTTCCCCCAAAAAAATGTTAATGCTCCATTCTTTGCCCATGAGCCTGTAGCATTCCAACATGAGAGGTCTTGAAATGATCCATAACTGTTTGAAGCATTCCTGTTTAACACCACTTGGGTTTTCTTCCCAACAGATATAAAATCATCACTACAGAGAGAAGAGTTTGGTGGGCACTGGGGCTGTGCTGGTCTCTGTCCCTGCTGGTAGGGCTTGTCCCCATGTTTGGCTGGAACAATTCAGCACCAAGAAACTCTGACTTCCTCCAGTGTCGATTCATCTCGGTGATGAGGATGGATTACATGGTGTATTTTGGCTTCTTCACATGGACCCTCATCCCTCTGCTCATCATGTGTGCTCTGTATGCTGAAATCTTTCACATCATCAGGACCAAGCTGAGCCAAGGCAGTGTGAGAGGGGCTGGAGTTTTTTATGGACAGGAGTTCAAAACAGCCAAGTCTCTTGCACTTGTTCTCTTCCTGTTTGCAATATCCTGGTTACCTCTATGCATTATAAACTGTGTTTCCTATTTCTACCCTGAGGCTCAGATCCCTCCCTTTCTGATGTACATGGGCATCCTGTTATCCCATGCCAATTCTGCCATGAATCCCATTGTCTATGCTTGCAAGATAAAGAAGTTCAAAAACACCTACCTTTTAATTTTAAGGACCTATATCCTGTGCAGAAAACCAGACCCAGCTCTTACAGAGCAAACAACAGACCAACAGTCCTGAACACAGACAGAACCTAACAACAGGTACCAGGTATTGATAAGCCACTTGGCTTTGTTAAGGAAAAGGTAACAACCTGTAGGTCTGAAGGTTCCTCTAAAGTTCTGTGTAAATATATGTCTTTGTATTATATCATTTCAAAACACAGATGGAAATTCTGTCTAGTGTTGGTTTTTTGGGGGTATTTGTTACCTAAGGATTGGTTGTGTCCACTGGAAAATGGGATAGATGTGTTCTTTGCTGTTGGCAATTCAACAATTCACATCCTCCCTGGCTGTTCTTACACCCTTTGTCTTCTCTGTCTGTTCAGACTAACCTTGAGTCTGGGCAACATGTGCTGCAGCCAATGTTGTCACATTTCTGTGAACAATAATAAACAGTAGATGGATCTTGTGTTCATTCAGCCTGCTGGTCTCCCATGACAATAAAAGACCCCAGAACCTGCAGGAAATCTCCTCAGTTTTGGTCAGTCCTGCCTAGGATGGCACAGAAGTTGCAGCAGATATTGCATAGAATCATAGAATCAACCAGGTTGGAAAAGACCTTCAAGATCATCAAGTCAAGTCCTACTGTGGTTACTAGACAAAGTACCACATCCAGTCTCAGCTTGAAAACCTCCAGGGATGGTGAATCCACCACCTCCTTGGGCAGCATATTCCAATGCCTGAGCACTCTCTCCTTAAAAAATCTCTTCCCAATATCCAACCTAACCCTCCCCTGGCAGAGCTTGAGTCTGTGCCCTCTTGTCCTGCTGCTGGTTGCCTGGGAGAAGAGACCAACCCCCACCTGACTCCAACCTCCTGTCAGGGAGTTGCAGAGGGTGCTAAGGTCTCCCCTGAGCCTCCTCTTCTCCAGGCTGAACACCCCCAGCTCCCTCAGCCTCTCCTCATGGCACTTGTGCTCCAGTCCCTTCCCCAGCCTCGTTGCTCTTCTCTGGACCCATGCACCCACAGCACAATCTGTTTTTAGGAAACATGGGTCAAACTAAAAATCGGCCTTTAATGACCTATTTTCTTTTCCCCCTATCTTTAAATAATAAAAGTAGTCTAGAGAAAGCATAAAAGGGAGTGCCTAGTTGTTATTTATCTTAGGAAACTTTGGCATCTGCTGCTTTAGCTGAGATCAGACATCTCAGCCCTTATCTGATGTAACCCTTGTCACAGGCCAAAGCTCTGCCCTGTTGCACAGTTCAAGTCTATGAATAACCAGGCCAAAGGAAGTCACTGCACAAGTACATGAGAATTTGGTACAAGATCTCTCATGATCATTGATGGAACCGATTGCTTTCAGCAGAAACACACCCCTCACCTAAAGGGCACAAGTTTGGTAGAACTTTGCTGATGTGCTGTTGATAAAGTGAGGAAAGAGAGAGCAATGCTGCACCACATTCCTTCCACCAGCCCAGGTTACTCCAAG